TTTTATGTACTTTTCGCTGTTCATACGACCTTCGCAAACAAACATTTCGCCAACCCCATCAGTGATGCAGCCCCAGATCATTATGCTGCCTCCTCCATGCTTTACTGTCTGTACGACGCAATCTGGATGGTATTCTTCGCCCACACGTCGCCTCATAAAGGTCACACTTGGCGTTTCACTAACTTAGCAATTTCTTTTTGCGACTTCCCTTGTTCATGGAAAAGTTGTATTTTTACTGGGTTTTCCAAACTAATTTCACTTCTTTTCGGCATTTTTAAATAAATTACGTGTCAATTTAATCACTATGTTAGAAATAAAAGCTTGTTTGCTCGTTAGAGTCCTGAGACCAAACATTGACTGATAAGAACGCATCAAAACAAATCCTTTGTTTTCAGTCACCAGGTGTTTTGTGACCATAACAGATAGCTGCTTGCTTTTCTAGGAAGTTATTTGTGACCCCGGCATGCCATCTAAGATAAGCATTTATTCATTGTTCAATCAGTAAACATGAATTGTGCATTTTTCTGGGGTGCCTAATACTTTCGGCCAAGGCTGTATAACTATTAGATCATTCGAAAACATTATGTTTTTGTATCTATAAAAAAGTTATTTCCTATAATAGTAATGCCGATGACTGTTAAAAATTAATGTTTGAGTTGCATTGTTGTTTTGGAACGTTATTAAGGTACGGTACGGTCCTTTGCTTTGCAAATGTCTACAACATTTAAGAATGTATTGTGCTTTCTTTGACATTATAACAATGTATAATAAGGTAGGTATATAATCTATTTGCATATATTCTTGAAAATTGTGTGTGTAACTGTGTATTATTTTAATTTTTTTTAAATGTTTCATCTGTCTCCGTTGTTATATGTTCAAATTGATACCGTTTGATTTAACTGAGATGGATGGGAAGAAAACCCCTTAATATCCAGCAAGTTGTATACTTATTCGCAGATTCAGTGGAATAATAATAAAATGTACACACACTTGTAGTTCAATCTGTTAATAATGGTGGAATCGTTGTTAACTCTGCCCCATTTCTTTGTTATCAGTTATCAAATTACAGAAACAAAGAAACGATAGGTTATTGTGTCTATGGGGCGTTCTACTTTTCTACCGACAATCTGAGTGATAAATTTTTTGATTTAAAAAAAAAAAAAAAAGTGTATTTCTTTCATAAAATGTATTTTTAAATCATTGTCCAGTTATCGAAGATTTCAGAAATGTATAATGCATCGAAGTTTTATTTTATATCTTTTATTTATTTTAAGTTTTATCGGAATAGTAAGAAAAAATAAACACCTCAGTCACAAAAAAGAAATATTTATTAGTTATTATGTAAAATCAAATTTTCAGTTTTTCTTTCACTTTGCTTAACTGGAATACAAGCATTTATTATTATGTAACTCGATTTATAAGAATTTTTATTACAAATGTATAAAAAATAACATTTAATACCACTCTGTCACATTTTTGCTCGTTAAGATAACAAACTTTGAAATATTTTGCAAATAATTGAAATAAACATAGTCGAAATTCTGTTAATACCTTATATGGTCAATATGTAATAATATAATACGTTTTTTTAGTATAGTTTTCAATAAATAGAATCATATGCTACATTGACGTTTAGTTACAAGAGGGACAAAATTGTGACAGAGTGGTAGATATTAATAAGCCAACATTTGAACTTAATTTTTTAACATTTTTAATGTTTTTAAAACGATAACAAAACATAATGCTTCTCTTATAATGCTACATAATATATTATATCTTGGTAGAACCATTCTTTGGTACACGTAAAATCAGACTAATTTTCTCTTTTCTCTTATTCTACTTTTCAAATACTTCTATTGGTTTATCAAATTCGTAATAAACACGCTTTCCTCTTTTGACTTCTTTAGGACTTGGAATTATTTTTATCAAGTTTTCAAACATCACATCTGATAGATCTGATTTTACTAATTTAAATATTTTTCCAGTGTCATCAACAGTTTTATAAAACATTACCTGAACATCTCTTGTTTCATCCACACAACTTTTTGCTACTCCTAAGTAGGTGTACTCGACTTTGTTTTTACTGGGTACTTTTACTAACATATGTGTACAATTTTTTATTAATAATGGGTGAATGTTGTCAACAGACAGATCGTATGAAGTACTCGGTTTTATGTGCACATTTTTTTTCTGATTAACAAGAGGCTGATCATCTTCATCTTCTGAAGTAGAAGTATAAACAGTCTCATAAAATCTCTTTGTAGGAGCTCTAATTATGTTGGTTATATCAGCCAGTGGTTCTTTTAAATCTGAGGTTGCTCAACATGAGATGGAAGTTAACGATAGCCCTATCGTTAACTTCCATCTCATGTTCAGTAATTTGTAATGTTCCTTAATGGCATTTGTCAAGATACTATTTTTTTTTTCTTCTTCGGCGCCTTTAATTTTATCTTCATTTTTTTTTATAGTTTTGGTCATATTATGTAATAAGTTATCTTTTTTATTTTTTCGACGTTGAAGTCTTTTCTTGTATTTTCGTATTTTTTTCTGTAATTCTTTTACATTGTCTTGGAGTTTCATAATTTGCCTATAAATTTTCGATCTGTCTGGTCTAACTTTTTTTCTACCCCTTGCTCTAGCAGTGGATGAGATTGAAGTTAGTGAACGAGATCTAGGACTTAAAGTAAGTAACCTGGGGCTTGAAGGAACAGTTGTGGAAGCCGGAGCATTCATTAGAACGTTCTGCAAAGCTTTCTGTTGTTCTCTTCTCTTCTTGTTTCTAACTTGCCATTTTCTTTTCATTTGTCTGTGATCTCTTGGTGTCATATCTTTGACTAGCTTTTTGCGAGTATGATATCTTTCTAAGTCTTTTCGTTTCACTTCTGCAACTTTTTCGGGGTCTTGTTTCCTTTTCTTTCACTAGAACGTCGCTGCCTTTGCGCCGCAGATAACGCAATTTTTTATTACCCCGATGATAATACCTTAAATTAATAAAATAATCGATAATGTAATATATAGAACACAAAAAATATTAATTAACTATTGTAAAAATCAATCAATGCAAAGTTCAAGACAAAAATTACCACTTCGTCACGAGTTATGCCACTCCGTCACAGTTTATTTGTGACAGAGGTGCCTCGTGACAGAAGTGTAAAATAATAGTGTTCGAGGATTTTAGCGTTCACAAAATTACAAATTGTTCGTAAAAGTGGGTGAATATGACAGATTTGCTGGGAAATAATAATATTACATATATAAATATTAATTACAATAAAATTTCAAAGTAGTAACTTACGTGACAGAGCGGTCGTCGAATAAACACACGCATCTCTGTTCACTTCCTGCAGGCGACTAACTCGGCTCGCTCGCGGGTGAGGCCCCAAGGCGTGAGGCCAAGGGGGAAGAGGAAACCGTACTGTTGCTTAGTGTTGAAGATGAAACAGCTAAGAAGCGTTTTTTGATTTGCGAAATGCGTGACGGAAGATAGCAAGAAAAAACATACATAGCCGGACCCAACGATAAAATATTTTTTTGTTTAATAATATGAACCTTTACGTTTATTATATTCTAATCAATGTAATGATAATATTTCAGAAGTTCAATAAATAATTTTATATTAAAGGATTCCATATGATTTTTTTAAGCGAGATCATTTTGTAACATTAGGCGGCGCAAAGAGACAAGTTTTACTTGTATGTAAAACACCTCTGTCACACATTTTGAATACTATGTCACAATGATTTTGTAAAAAGCAAAAAAAATAAAAACGGAATTTTATTATTATTATAATCTCTGTATGGTCCAAAAAAATGTTGTCGAAATAAAATTTGAGAAACTCCAATTTTGGACAAAAACCGATTTTTTTTTCAAGAAGAGACACGTCATTGTCGGTAGAAAAGTAGAACGCCCCCTATTCCTTCTTATCTAATGTCTGCGCAAGTCTGTGAGTTCGTTTGAGAATACGCTTAAAGTAATAAAAGGACATACAAGGACATTTTATGTTGTTTTTACATTGCCTTGGTTAGTTTTAAAACTACTGTGGTGATAATCTAGGTTATACAAAGTAAAAATGAATGATAGGAACTGACAATATACACGACAATCATATCGAAATGATAAGAGGTTACAATCAAAATACCAGCAGAAGTGTAAGATAACGAATGCACAGAAAATGTTTATTGTTTTTATAAATCTAACTGTACATATTGGTTATTTGAATATTTTTCTTGGTTAAGCTTTCAAACAATGTTGTTTGAATTTAAAATTGGTAAAAATGTTACGAAGTATACTAACATTTACACACAGAAACATAAAACTATACATATTATTGTGAGTTGCTTTTATTTCATTTTCAAGCCAGTTAAATTAAAGTAGGTAAGGTTCCCTTGGGTGCATTTACCAATAAGATTGTTACATTATCTCTTATGTATCAGATAAGTATCATTTTTAATAAAAGGATAAACAACATTATCATCTAATCTGCATAGCAAAGCAGTTATATTTACTTCTAGTACAAGTATAATATCCTAAAGAATATTTTAAATCTTTTCTAGATAAATACATAAATGTAAAATGAAATTTTAAATGCCTTGTTATTAGTATATTAAATTGTGTTTTCTTTACAAATTAAGTGATAACTGACAGCCAGAAACTAAGGACAGGAAAGACAATAGTGTTTTTCCTTTAACTGAAATTTTATTTTCACATTCATCCCAATTCTTTGTTTGATTAGGGAACGTCGTCTCAAACGGAAGCCTACTAGAAGTACTCAAATCTAGTGGATTAAGGTATACGTGACGAACGTAAAAATAAAAGTATATATAAATATAACGTTTGTTTTCTTTATAATACATCCATAGACGTCACTTGTGACAGCCACATTCATACATAATTACCAACAATTCATACAAATATTGCAAGTAATGCTGGCAATGCTGTAATTATGTAGTACGTAAATAATCAACATACATCTAAGAGTTAGATGAATCGCAAAAACCTACCTTCGATCAAAATATGCCTCCTTCGCTTTGAAGAGCTCGGCTTTACCGGATTCGTGGGAGAATTGACGCCGTAACATGATAAAAAAATAACTTCACAAACAAACAAAACTGATTTTATTGCATTGTCATCATTATAACACATTAACGTACTACATATATATGGTAGTTGAAAAGAGGTCCAGTACATTGTGTCGACTCATGTTTATGTGCGCGCACGGAAGGAGTACGCGAGCGCGAGAGGTGCGCGTGCTCGCGGCGACTGGTCGCGGACGTTAGCAGAAGTCCACGCGCAAGTCTTCATCGACCCAAGTGACAGTTCTGACCTTGGCGTACTCGATTATCGTGAGTGGCTTCACTAGCCATTCTCAATTTGATCTTATCATTATGAAGCCTTATTTATTATCTTAATATTTTCTGCCATAACTGACCTTACATGCAAGTCGAAATAAGACCCCGTCTTATTTCGACTTACATCTAAGTCACAGTCTAAGGACAGGAACGTATTTGAAGAATAATCATTAGTGTTATCAGTAGAAATGATGATGAGCTCTTATTGCAAATTCCTTTATGAGAAGAATAAAGTCTCTCGAGACTGATTTTGTCACCTACCCACTTTTGCAAGAAGTAGAACATAGAGAAAAGGACTTTTTTAAGTACTAAGTACTATCTTTTACTCCACATGTCATATGTTACTACTTAACGTATAATATACGAGTATGTTATGTGTACTAGGAAAATAATGAGTGTTCCGTGTTGCTTCAGATCATAGACTAACGGATTTATTTGAAATTTGGCACCTACGAGTGAAATTTGTTTTGATGTTTTCGCATTTTTTGATATTAGTAAAATTCTACCAACATTTTATGATTAATTTATTCCGTCTTTAAAATATAGCATAGCCACAGTCTGTCCTTACTGATAAAAACCTTTAATCTTTCTACTAGCTTTGCTTGTAAAAATATGTCTGTAGTCCGCGAAATCAACTAGGTCACCTTAGAAGACTGAAATATTTCTTTGTCCTTTTATATCCAGATCTGCAAATTTAATCTCATTTTATGTGGTGCACCTCCTTAAAAATGTATCTTCACTCTAAAAATATAACCTGCAACATATTTCGGTCAAAAGACATAAGTCATTTCGAGTCTTTGTAATATTCTATTCTAATAAAAGAAAATAATATAGCATATCATAACAAAATATAAGTTAACAATAAATTTATATTTTTTTGTGCTTTTACAGTTTGTACAATACTTTTGCAAAACATAATAATATAGAAAAATAAATTCGGCTAAAATGATCGCTGCTACAGCAAACTCGTCCTTATTCGCCAAGGACCAGGTATGGCCAATGTCGTTGATATCACCATTGATAACCTACATACTACAACTATATCGACAGTATTTACACTGTGAATTTATGTTAGTAGAATACTGATTTTTTGACCGATGTCAATGGCATCTCAATAGCGTATCGCAACATTATAAACTACATACATTGAAAAGATTGAAGAAGATCATCTATGAGATTACAAGCCCGATTACAAAATTTATATTCTGCAAGACTTCAACGAATTGTATACGCTTCATATAAATTTGTGGGTTTAGCATATTGTTTGTGGTCAACGGGCATGAATCAGCGATTTTAATCTGTGTTGAGATGTTCGACATTGACCAACATACCATTGGTAGAGTCAGCAACCAAAGTCACCGAACAATATACAGTAGCAAAGCAAAATCTCGTAAGGAAACAGTAACAACAGATATTTTTGAATAATTTTCATTCTTTCTAATGGCTAATCTGGTAGTTTCTAACCTTTCGTAATAACGCCACTACGTTGACAAAAACAATATCAGTTCTGTTCGGTCCGTAATCTACTTTACGGTAAGCCTTTACCACAATTACACAATACGTAACGTGGTACGGTAATACCAGTAAGTATTATTTACTCGCGGCTCACCGTAAATTAGGGGTGACATCAGTGCATACTAGGTTTTCAGAACATTATTTTTATTACAAGATAATGCACGCCAAATTCATTCAGGATTAGGTGAACTTCGATATTAATTGCACTAAAATAAGTTCTAAAGTGGTATTTAAGGATTTAACTAACTACTACGTTTAAAGGCTTGGACAAAATTAGTTAATTTCATACTCTGTTTCATATTTAATACAAGGTTTATTGTTCCAGTGAAGAATTTGCTGACTGTACATTGTACGACATTGAGATGGTATGGGACATTCAAAAAGTAGTCTTAATGACTACTTTTAGTGGAATTACCGTTTAATTATGCAAATTTGAGAGTTATTTTGTACTCGCTTTAGCCTATGTCTTTCCACAAGAATCATAGTATCTCCAATCAATCAATCAATCATCACAGTATCAAATTCGTTCTAAATCGGTTTAGTGGTTATTGATGCCGCATACAAACATCCACCCCCCCTTTTCACCCCCTTAAAGGATGATTTCTGGGATAAAAACTACCCTATGTCTTTTTCCGGGACTCGGACTATATACATGCAATTGTATCTAAATCGGTTTAAGCGTGAAGAGGTAACAGACAGACACACACTTTCGCATTTATAATATTAGTACGGATTGTATGATTTTAATAGACTAAGTTACAAGAACCAAAGTTTTTAATACACTTCAAATATACATCTATGTTATCTTTTGATTATTCCTTGTTGTGCCAATTCTCATTATAAAACAGTACGGGACATTAACAAAGTAAATCATTAACACTTACATAACCGTTTATGGGCATTAAAACGTATTCATAAATACATTGTACATCTATTTGTTGTACCTTGATACTTATACTTTTTAGCCTATCTTTAAATCCACGAAAGGAGTATCACTAAGTTGGCTATCACAAAGTTGTTAACATGGGGCAAAAAATGACCCTTACATGTAACCTGTGTGGTTACATACAATGGTCTTTTACCCATACCTGACCATACACGTGTTATAATAGGTGTCAGTAATACCAAAAGAACTATTGACGTCTATTATTTTTTTTATTTCCAGTTGCGCAGAAGTACTTCTCCGTGAGTGTTACTTTATCTTTCACTTGTTCTACTAGAAACATTAAGGCCGAAATACGAACACGTCTTACTACATACATATTATGTAATAAAAGATTTAGAATTTTCTATACATATTTATCAAATGGCCATGGCTGTTTATTTCTGCATAATTTGCATATTAAGGAATCTTTAATATTCCTAGTAAAAAGTATTAGTCAGAGGCCATGTCTAATGAATTAAAAAAGGTTATAAATATTACTGCGTAAAGTAGCGGAGGGTAATGTCAACGTATTTTTTGGAATAATATTTTGAAAACGTGGGTACCTGATGATTAGTGACTACTGCCGCCCATTGGCACCTGCAGCTGCCTGCCTGCAGTGCTATACTCTAAGGAAACAGCCTTGCGTACAGCGCTGCCACAGCGTCGAACTTCAAACTAACTTTATTTAAATTTCTACGCTGTGACAGCGCTGTAGCCTTAGAGAATAACACTGCTGGACCTAAAGAGTCACAAGTGTGTTTCCGCCCTTCTTTGAGTGTCTTCCCTCCCCCCAAGAATTATGTGGGATAAAGGGGAGGAGGTTGGGCCTCTTGTTACTTCACTCACTCACTGAAAGCTAAGAAAGAATGGCTTTGGTCCCAGTTTTCTGTCTGTCTCAACGAACCGGCCTTTATGTGCCCCAGCATGGATCGCCTACGATCAATTAAGATCAAAAGATGGATAATGACACACTGGAAGTAATTGCTACATGACATAAATCTTCCTTATTAAACTTTTAAAATCTCGAATTTTATAGATCTACTAAAAGCCCTTTGTTGTTTTAATTAATTTAAAATCAAGTGAGACGGTCGCGCCTTTACGGGAGTGGAGTAAGTAGTTTAGCGTCTGACCGGGTAACCTGTTCTATGTGGACTATAGAAATTATTTCCCTGAGCAATAACAGCAAGGCTGTTGTGTGCGGGTTACGAGCTGAGTTAGATGTCAACACAACATTGACCGACATAGAAACATCGCTCGTTACGCGCCGGTTTCATCATCGTACCGTTGTGTGCGGTCAAGACAACGTTAGGGTTGATGTTTCATTGTCATAGTTTTTTAATTTGCCTTTGATGGTCATACATTATTCCATGTAAAAAGGGACCTGTTTGAAGACAAAATGAGACCTATACGTACATTATCTACCGTTAAAGTATGTTCAATTAAGAAAAAGGTATTTGAAATGAAATTCAGTAGTCTTAACTCATAAGTGTTTTCCGGGGACGTAAAAATAGCAAAGTTGTTACAGTATAGATATAAAGGAGCAAATTGATAATAATTTTCGTTTATTTCATCTATGCAAATCTTTTTCATCATTCATCTTTACAACATACAGTTGACAAAAAATCTGGGAGATCTGGAGTCTAAACTAAGCGAGGCTTGTACTCCATGGATCTCCAAAATTGATTTTACTGTAAAAGTTATGTGATATCATCCATCTAATCTCATGACTTTCACAGTAATCTCAATTGTCAGTTTGATATATGTATTAGTTTTCGAGTTTATAACTAATAAAATATTTTTTTAATTAATAAAATATTCTGCTCAAGGACCTGAACTTTTTAGTATGTTCAGTACTAATTTCAATGGAGACTATGCAATAAAAAGAAAACAATTGAGTTTCGACTTCATTATATAATAATATACTTAAGATCCGACATAACCACTGGTGGGTGGGATCCGAAGGGATTTCCGCACAGAAAAAAAAACATGATATTAGCTTCACTACTAATTGAGTTTGGCCAACTTGCTTCAGTAGTGGGCAGTAATAGGCATTAATGCTAATTAGATTTAATTTAAGTAATTGGGAATTCTTATGCCTTAGTTAATTAATGTTAATTGCTATTGCTGATATTATTTGCTAATATTGCAATTTCGTGCGAGAAATAATGCAATACAGAGTTTGTTAGCGATATGCAATATCTTCGTCAATTCGTCACTTAACACTATCTATTTTAAAAAAACCGTATTCACAAAATACCTATTTACAACGCACACGTCACACTCTTCGAA